TCTCTCCTCTCTCTCTCTCTCTCTCTCTCTCCCTCCCTCTCCTCTTTTTGGTACCTGGTAATGGAACTGAGGTCCTTGCACGTGTGAGGCAGGAGGTAGAACCACTGAGCTAAATCTCTGGTGCTTGGTGGCCGTCTTAATGCTGGAGGGCTGGTTTTGGCCATCGCAGGTCCTTGCAGGTTAGAAGGATTGTTTCTTGTTCTTACCTTCAAAGATTGGAGTATGTGGTAGGTCATCTTTGCAGTCTATTAGTACTTGGCTTGTCTCCTCTGGACTCTAAACTATCCTCCTGTCTCAGCCTCCCAAGTAGCTGGGACAGTAGGCGTATAGTACCACACAGGGCTTCTGTGTGGTTTCTTCTTTTCCTGTCTCATTCTCTGGTGTCCACTCTGGGCTGGGCACTGCCCTTGTGTCTGGTGCTGGTTAGTGGGTGGCATTTTCCCTTGGCTTAGGGTAGCTCAGGCATCTGTGATGAGAAAGGTGAGGCTGCTGTGGCTAAGTGGGGACACGTCTGAAGTCAGAGAGAACGGCACCGTGTTGAGCTGCTGCTCCGCCAGGCTTCTGCCTCTCCACTGAATCACTCTTTGCCTTGTTCCCCTTCCTTTAGGCTGTTAAGCCCACTTCCACCAAGTGAGCTGGTCTTCCTGTCTGCCTGGGAGCTGTCCCAGAGCCCGAGAGCACCACATGCCTCACCAGTGGGGCTGGGCAGGCCAGGTGTGGCTGCTTCTCTGCCTTCTTCCCTGGAGGATGGCAGGTAGCCAGGGTGAGAAGTAGAGCAAGGCCACTGTCACGTGGAGGGGCCATGGGTCTCAGTCCTTTGTTTGTAATTCTCACACTGACTTTGGGGACTTAGGAGTGTGTGTAGGTCAGGGCCCTCTCCGCCGCCTACTGCAGGGTCAGGCCTGTTCATGACCCTATCGCTGTGACCTTTAGGGCTGCTGTCCAGGGGCAGAGCTACAATGGCCATACCTCCTGCCAATGCCCCCGCTAAATGGGAGCTGGATTTACCATGGTAGATAGCATGGCCACGTCACAGGGAGGTTAGAGCCTGGCTAGCACTCGGCAGAAGCTGTGCGGGTGATGCCTGGGGCCGCGGTGCAATGGGGGACAGAGCCTTGCTTTGCAGGGCAAGGGGCAGGCACAACACCTGGTTGGGAATCACAGCCAGGGAGCCTGGGCAGCAAGACCTCCACTAGCGTTTGCAGAGGATTTTCTCAAAAGCTTTCCTGCCCTTGTTTTCCCACCTCATTATTTGCCCCACGTTTGCCTGTTTGGGAAGATGGAGAGGTTCTAGAAGCCTCTACCCCTGGGATTGGCTGGGGAGTGGACTGAATGGGGAGCAGCTCACAGCCCAGGGCTCAGCCCAGCTTCGGTGGCACAGTTCCATGGCTGAGTTGGAGGGCTGGGCTGGCACTGGCCTCCCTGGATGTACCCTGCTGTGGGAGCTGGAAATGACCACTGCTGGGGTGTAACCTCAGCCTGAGACAGCTGCCCTCTCACTACTTTAGGGGACCCTAAAGGGGTGTGGCCGGTAAGAAGAGTGTAGTTAGGGATGGGGATGGAGCTCAGGGGTGCTGTGCCTGCCTTTCAAGCTCAAGGACCTGACTTCCACCCCCAGGACAAAAACAACCAAAAAAGCAAGAATGTAGTCAGCCCTGCACATCCTCAGATCAGCCAGTCAACCTGCAGCCAGCAGTCAGGAGCCGGATGTGGTCAACACCTGTGATCCCAACACTCGGGAAGCCAAGGCAGGAGAATTGCAAGTTCAAGCCCAGCCCGAGCAATTTATTTTGTCTCAAAATAAAAAAGGACTGAGGGGCTAGGGATGTAGCTCAGTGGCGCCACACCTGCCTGCAAGCACAAAGTCCTGAGTTCAATTCCCAGTACCAGGAAAAAAAAAATAGAGGACTGGGGGTGTAACTCCCAGTACAAAGGTCCCAGTAATGAAGAAAATTTCAGGAACAAACAGCTGTGTGTATACTTAGCGTATAGGTACAGGTATTTTTTTCCCGTTGTTATTCCTTTTCTGGGATCAAACTCGGGACCTTGCCCTTATGAAGCAGGCGGTAGAACCACTGAACGGGCAGAACCCTGGCATCCTGTTACTGTTCCCTAAACTGTGGAGTGTAACAACTACTCGTGCAGCATTTACGCTGTCTTAGGTGTTACACGTTGCTAGAGGTGCCCTACAGTATGTGTGAGGAGGTGGTAAACGGCCTGCCTGCCTGCCCTCCCTTCTTTCCCTCTTCCTCTCCCTCACCACCAGGGGCAGTATACTACCGAGTTGCGGCCCCAGTCTTTTTTTTTCCAGAAAATGCCTTGCCTTGAATTTAAAATTCTTTTACCTCAACCTCCTCAGTGCTAGGATTACAGGTGAGCTCCACCATGCCTGGCTGTGATTTCTTTCCTAGTCCCTTTTTTGAAGTTCCAAGGGAGCAGTGAGCACTTACCCAGAATCCCCACCTGAAAAGTCTGAGGTGCAGGAACCACCTTTCTCTGTCAGGCACTGCTGTATTGTCTCTCCTGAGCTAAGGCCCTGGGTACTAGCCCTGTTCGGCCTCTTTTGTTGCTATCCCCAGGTAGCTGCTCTTCACCTTGTGACCTCAGAGGACGCCATCCATTGCACGTGTGATTCCAAATCTCTGTGTGTGTGGGTGTGTCTGACTTAGCAATAGCAGAAACAAGCCCAGAGGGTAGACCTCAGCAGGGGGTGATTGTCAAAGCAGCTTCCCCCTTGCATTCATGCATGCCCTGAAAGGGTCAGGGGCCTCAGGTGTGAGCTGTGTGTTTCAGGCTGCTGTTTAGGAGCTTGGGCATGAGGAAGGTGACATATATAAGGCCCGAGGAGGCTCTCAGGCATGTGACCAGAGTTGCTGTCGCCTGTGATGGATGCCTCGGTCTGGCTGGCCTCCACTCTGCACGCGTCTGTAGAGCAGGGTTGGACGGTGCCCCCACCAGCCCTGGCTGCGAGGTTCTGTGGAAAGGTGGGCAGGAGCAGGATCTAGGCACACCTGTGACTCCTGCCCGTGTGCCCCTCAGTTGCAGTAGCTGGCAGACCAGGAGCCAGCAGGATTGAGCTGTGGACATGAACCCTTCTGTACTTGGTGGTGGCCGTAGGATGCCGGCTAAAGCCAGTCTGGACTGTTAGGGAACAAGTGTGTTACCCCCATGGCAGGACAAGGGCCCTGGCAGGGCACCTGTCCTACAGGGTGGCTCACGGCCCCCTTTCTGCCCACAGTTTGATGAAGGCCGGAACAGCTTTGAGGGGGAGATCACCAAAGAGAACTTGCTGGACTTTATCAAGCACAACCAGCTGCCCCTGGTCATCGAGTTCACCGAGCAGGTACGGGTCTCCTGTTGCGCAGATGTCTGGCGGTCTTTGGGCCACTGAGGCCCTGTTCTGTCAAGGCTTAGCTTGTGGTTTTAATGCAGAAATTTCTGTTTATAATGTAGACAGCCCCGAAGATTTTTGGGGGTGAAATCAAGACTCATATCCTGCTCTTCCTGCCCAAGAGCGTGTCTGACTATGACGGCAAATTGAGCAACTTCAAGAAAGCAGCAGAGGGCTTCAAGGGCAAGGTGAGCACCCCGCTGTGTGGGCCTGAGCTGCCCTCTTTCTGCTTCTCGGGGCCTCAGCCCTGGGGCGTCCGCCAAGCCAACCTCTGCTCTGGCTGGGCAGCCCCAGCGGCCTAGGCCTGCTTTGGTATGGCAGCCTGTCCTGGCCCTGGCTCAATGTGCCTTTTCTCTCCAAGATCCTGTTTATCTTCATCGACAGCGACCATGCGGACAACCAGCGCATCCTGGAGTTCTTTGGTCTGAAGAAGGAGGAGTGCCCTGCTGTGCGGCTCATCACCCTGGAGGAGGAGATGACCAAGTACAAACCCGAGACGGATGAGCTGACGGCGCAAAAGATCACAGAGTTTTGCCAGCACTTCCTGGAGGGCAAGATCAAGGTGCGTGGCTAGGCCTGGCTGGGCCAACAGTGGCTCATCTTGCAGAGCAGGTGAGTACCCTGCATCCCTGGGCTTCAGTGTCTGGCTTCCTGTGGCTTCCTCAGTCTAAGTCTGAGCACGAAGACCCCAGTCCGTGTGACATCTCTCTTCCCAACACTCACCTTTGGGCAGCTCAGAGGGCCTTTGCTGCTAGCCTAGCTGTGCACCACTGTGGCCTCAAGGCTGCGAGGTGCCATCTGCTCTCTCCTTGGGCAGACCTCGCCAGGTTCCTGGCACCGTCAGCTCTGGCAGCTTCCGAGGACAGCGTGTACCTCAGCTGGGATAGGGCTGGGGAGTGTGGGTGGGCCCTCACCATACCTGTGTCTGTCTGCCCTGCAGCCCCACCTGATGAGCCAGGAGCTTCCTGAAGACTGGGACAAGCAGCCTGTCAAAGTACTAGTGGGGAAGAACTTTGAAGAGGTTGCTTTTGATGAGAAAAAGAACGTCTTTGTGGAATTCTGTGAGTAGAGTGTCCCCAGCTGCCAAGGTGGCCGCTGCAGTAGGGCAGCGGCAGAGCAAGGCGCTCAGTGCAGGTGTCCAGGAGGAACCCTCAGCACTGCTTTCTTCCCAGATGCACCGTGGTGTGGTCACTGCAAGCAGCTGGCACCCATCTGGGATAAGCTGGGAGAGACATACAAGGACCACGAGAACATCGTCATCGCCAAGATGGACTCGACAGCCAATGAGGTGGAGGCTGTGAAAGTGCACAGCTTCCCCACCCTGAAATTCTTCCCCGCCAGCACAGACAGGACGGTGCGCATTCCCTGTGGGACTCCTCAGACTCCTGGGCCCGCTGGGGGAGGGGAGAGATGGGGGAGCAGGGCAGGACACACTGCAGGGAGTGAGGCTGCTGCCCCGAGGTCCAGTCCCCTGCACTCACTGCCTGCTTTCCACAGGTCATTGACTACAACGGGGAGCGGACGCTAGAAGGCTTTAAGAAGTTCTTGGAGAGCGGCGGCCAGGAGGGAGCAGGGGATGATGATGTGAGTGTGGGCCCAGCCTGGGTCCTGGTGCAAGGCACCACCTTGGACTTTGGGCCCAGGCAAGGTTCATCAGGGCCCTGTGAGGCCCAAGGAAAGTGCACAAGATGCTCCAGCCCTTTCCCTTCCCCGGCAGTGCTGCTCAGGGGAGGCATTTTTGTTGTTTTGTTTGTTTTTTGGGGTGTTTTGTTTTGCTTTTTGAGGCAGAGTCTCCCTTTGTAATTCAGGATGGCCCTGAACTCACTATGTAGTCCAGGCTGGCCTCAGACTCATAGCAATCTTCCTGCCTCAGCCTCCCAAGTACTGGGATTACAGGCATGTGCTACCATGCCCGGATATCGGAGAAGGGTTTTTGAAGACATCTTTTTAGGGATGGAACCCAGGACCTTTACACTGAGCTGCATCCTAGCTCTTTTATTTGAGACAGGGTCTTGATAAATTGCCAGGTCTGGGCTCAAATTTGTGGTTCTCTTGCCTCAGCCTCCCAGAGTGGGATTACAGGTGTGCATCTTCCCATATAAATTTATCTATTTATTCTTTTGGTACTGGCAGTCAAACTCAGGACCTTGTGCTCGTGAGGCAGACGGCGGCACCACTGAGCTAAATCCCCGGCCGCATCCCATATAATTTAAGACATCTTTAAAAGATAGACCTTGCCGGGGATTTAGCTTAGTGGTTCCACTGCCTGCCTCACAAACACAAGATCCCAAGTTTGATCCCTGGTACCAAAAAAACCGCCAGACCTCACTGTGGAACTCTCAGACACTTCCCAGAGTCCTCATGTCCTGCAGACATGGAGCCCAGCGTCCTGCCTGCTGCTGAGGCTCATGCCGCTCTGCTGCTGAGACTCCTTGCCGTCACTGTGTCCAGGCTGGGCCACCATGCTTGGGCCTGCCCAAGTCTGCGTGGCCGTGACAGTGGTTACTCTAGGGCAGTGATGGCGAACCTTTCATGGCTTTCAGTAATAACAAACAGCCGGCTGTGCCATGCACGCCATAGGTTCGCCACCGTTGGCCTAGGACACTGGAGGGCAGGTCGGGAGAATGTGGTAGGAGTGACGCTGGAGGCGGGGAGTGGAGGAAGCACCCAGGTGGTGGGGAGAAGTTGGGGGGCATGAGGGCTGCAGTGGGCTGAGGGAGGACACCCGGGTGTATCCTGCCGCAGGAGGGAGCGAGTTGCACCCTGTGGTCCTGTGTCTGACATCCCTGCCTAGCAGGGGCTGCCAGGAGGGACTGAGGCCACACTGGGATTCTCGGGGCCTCCCTCCACTCAGGGCACCCCGAGTCTCCTCAGCACGAGCATTGGAGGTCCCCTAATTGCCCCTTTCTTCCTGCACCCAGGACCTGGACCTGGAAGAAGCCGAAGAGCCAGACATGGAGGAAGATGACGATCAGAAAGCCGTGAAAGATGAGCTGTGATGAGGGAACAGACCTGGGCACCCAGCCCGACACCTCAGCCAACCTCACCTGAGAGGGGCGCCCTGGAGAGCAGGGAGCCCTTCCGCAGTCCTCACATGGAAACGCAAACCCGTCTCTTCCTTTTGCTTTTCAATTTTTGGAAAGGGATTTATCTCCAGGCCAGTCCATCTTGCTGGGCTACTTTTTTAAAATTGTGATGTACTTTTTTGTACATGGTTTTGTCCCAAGTGCTTGCTAAAATGTTTGGGATCTCACACTGGTAATGTCTCTTTCCTGTTAGAGATTTGTACTATCACTTTAAAATAATTGCATCTGTGGGACTTTGAGATATTTTTTGATGTCAGGGTATTTGTTCTGCCTTGGCCAAGCCTCCCTGGAGTCTCTTGTCTCCTGTCTGGGGGGAATGGACCCAGGGGGGACACAGCCACTCTCCCATCCACTGTGCTAGTGTGGCCGGGATGAGCATGGCTCTTGCATTTTTTAATTAAACGGAGACTTCTGGGTAGGTCAGGGTAGCCCTCTGCATTTGGAGGAGGGGACAAGTGGTAGCTACCCAGGAGGCCCAGGCAAGGGCCCTGGACAGCTCTGGCTTTCGTCCAGACTGCTGACCTGCCTGCCTCGGGCTTGCTGTGGGACCCTTGGATTCTCTTCCAGTACCAGCCAGTGGCCTGTGCTGGGGGACCAGGACCCTGATCCTCAGGCTAGGAGATGGCCCAGGATATGGGGGCTGGATCAGATCTTGACTATTCTTCAGGCATTTCCAGCACAACCTTGAAATTGAACACATTGGCCAAATAAAGCTGAAATTTTACTACCCTTTGTCTCTGCTTACACTTTCTTCAGAGCTGGGCGGAAATTCTGACGCAGAAAAGTGCAGTAGCTTTGGTGGGGTTTCCTCTGTCAGGTGACTCAGGAAGTGTATTACACATGCAGAAGCAGCCACCTGACAGGGCCTGGGGCATGGGCTTGCATGCAGCTGCCTTCTGCCCCCACTGCAGTACAGAGACTGGGTGAATCCAGTTTTAAGGAGTTAAATGAGCAAGTGTTTGTGCATGTTACCAAACTTAACCTTGCCGGGCATGGTGGCGCATGCCTGTAATCCCAGCACTTGGGAGGCTGAGGCAGGAGGATTGCTGCAAAATTTAGACCAGCCTAAATTACAGAGGGAGACCCTGTCTCAACCAAAAAAAAGGAAGAACCTTAGGCTGGCAGAGTAGAATGTCCAGCCCCTGGGTTCAATCCCAGCACTACAAGAAGAGTCTGGTGTTAAAGTGGGATATTTACTGATTTTTTGTTTGTTCTGTGGTACTGGCGATGGAACCCAAGGTCTCATGCATGCTAGCCGAGTACTGCACCTCAGCTTCACCCCAGCCCTGTGTTCTGGTTTTAGAATCTGACTTGAAGCGCCTCAGCTTGCTCATAGCTGACAAAGGTATGACTGGAGTCGGTCTCCCCAACCTGAAGCTTTGCCTACTGTGCTACAGGGTTTCTAATCCTGGCATTGCTCCACTCCTCGTGGTGTGGGCCAAGAGGGCTGAGGCAAGGCCCAGGGTTCCTGCCTCCTGCCTGTGGTGCTGGGGGGCATCAGTGCTGCCCCTGCCAGACCTGGCTGGCACGCAGGGCTCGCCGGGTGTGTAGCTCTCTATGAGATCTCTGCCCAGGGAGGAAGGGGATTGTGCCCAATAAGCCTCAACCAGAGCTCCTGTCTGATCCAGGCCCTGCAGCCCTGGCCAGTAGGCGATGGGCCTGTTGTCATCTCTTTGGGCAGCCCCAACTGTGCCCAGCTGGCCCGGGCACCCAGCATCCACGGGTACCTGCCTTCACTCACTGTGCGGCCCGGGCTGGGGATGGCTTCCAGCTCGTTCGGCTCCAGGGGCCTCAGTGTGTGTGTGAGATGCCATCCCACCAACAGTAGAGCAGGAGTGCTTAGAAGTCAGGTGTGAGGGCGTCAGCTTTGTCCCTGGGAAGTAAGAGAAGACACGGGGCCTGGAGGGAGCAGGAAAGGAAGCAAACTCCTCACAGTCGAGAGGTGCTGGGCTGGAGGTGGCAGCGACCCTGCTGACCAGCTGTGTGGGGACCAAGCTTCGGGGTGGGACAAGAGTCACTGACACCTTTCCCCTTTTGCAGAGGCAACTGATGAATGCATTCCCAGGCATGGTTGTGACCGGAAGCGAGGGGAGGTGGCCAAAACCTCTGGCCAGCTCAGTGGATTAGCAGGGCCACTACAAAGGCTCTGGAGGAGGTAGTGATGGCTTAGTAGCCGAGACTTCGCAATCTCTCTATAGGTAGCAGGAAGCCACTAGGTTGGATCCCAAAACACCAGATTCGGGCCTCAGCACCACCCTCGGGGTCACCTGGCTTCAGAGCCTACCTGGACTTCCATAGCTGGCCTGACTCTTCACAGCCCTAGGCTGTGTGCTTTCATTAGGCTTTTAAATGGTCAGAAGGTAACCCCTTCTTTTTTTTTTGGTAGTGGGGATCAAACTTGGGACCTTGCGCTATCGAGGCAGGAGGCGGCACCACTGAGCTAAATCCCTGGCCCAGAAGGTAAACCTTTTAAATAAATGTTTTGATTCATCCTCGAAAAAGTAGCAACTTGAAATCATGCAGACAAAACATGTCTGGAAGCCTAGCTCTCTGGGAGGGGTTGAGGCAGGCGGAATGCAAGTTCAAGCTCAGCCTGGGCAGGTTAGCAACTTAAGAGAGAACCCATCTCAAAGTTAAAAATTAAAACAGGGCTAAGGCTGTAGTTCAGTGTGAAGATCTTGCGTTCATTCCCCAGTAGCACGCGCGCACACACACACACACACACACACACCACAAAGACCAGGTCACTTCAAAAATTGATCCAAAGTAGGCTGGTGATTTAATTCAGTGGTTGCACCACCTGCCTTGCAAGCACAAGGTCCAGAGTTTGATCCCCAGTACT